CTATGATATTGGGGTTTGATCACAGAACTATCAAACATTTTGTTGCATTTTGAGTGTATAGTTTGAAAAATGAATTCTTTACATTCACCTCAGTCTTGAACTGACCATGATAACTTGAAAATATATATTCCTTTTACTTTATAGTCATTTAGTATTTGATTATGCTGTTAATGTGGAAAATTACTTTTAGGTTTTATGTAGAATAAAAAATGAAGAAATGAGATGTCGAAAATATCTACACCCCAGTTCCTACAGCAAAGTAATCAATGAATGCCAACAACGAATGGTAGCAGACCACTTACAATTTCTTCATGCAGAATGTCATAACATCATCAGACAAGAGAAGAGAAATGGTAAAGGTGTCCTGTGGGATAAAAATTGGAAAATACTTTGCCTTCTTACTAAAGTGAATCGCCATTCAACATAGTAGGGATTGCCATTAGTCTCTTAGGCTATTTAACATATGGAGTAAATGTGGATTAGGATCAAGTGTTTCATCAAAGCTGTATACCTTTCTTTTCCTTTTATTTATTGGTCTAAAGCTAATTTATGATTCTGCCATATCCAGTGCTAAGCAGTTTCCATGTCTATGCATTGTGATTGTATAAAGCAGGTTTCCTGGCTTAAACTGACCTGCAAATGTCAACACACACACTCACTCTCTTAGTAAAGAATTATGGCTAACAAAGTCATCATGCTGTTTCTATGTTAGCATTTGAAAGTAGTGATTTTTGTGAAAGTGTACACTGTGTACACAATTAGGCAAGTGAGTATTTTGACAATATCATTTTATGCATATTTTCCACCTCCAAGCTGTATAAACTTGAATGCTTCGTGGATATAAGCATGTCAGGTGATGTGTATTTGTGTAATGAGGGAGGGTGTGGCCTAAGGAGATCAACACCCTATATCAAGGTGGGCAAAATTATTAGGCAGCTTCTTTTCCTTAGGCAAAATGGGCCAAAAAGGAGATTTAACTGACTCTGAAAAGTCAAAAATTGTAAAATGTCTTTCAGAGGGATGCAGCACTCTTGAAATTGCTATGATATTGGGGTTTGATCACAGAACTATCAAACATTTTGTTGCAAATAGTCAACAGGGTCACAAGAAATGTGTTGAGCAAAAAAGACGCAAATTAACTGCCAAAGATTTAGGAAAGAATCAAACGTGAAGCTACCAGGAACCTCCAGTGCTGTCATATTCCAGAACTGCAACTTACCTGGAGTGCCCAGAAGTACAAAGTGTTCAGTGCTCAGAGACATGGCCAAGGTAAGGAAGGCTGAAACCAGACCACCACTGAACAAGACACATAAGTTGAAACGGCAAGACTGGGCCAAGAAATATCTGAAGACAGATTTTTCAAAGGTTTTTTGGACTGATGAGATGAAAGTGACTCTTGATGAACCAGATGGATGGGCCCGTGGCTGGATCAGTAACGGGTACAGAGCTCCACTTTGACTCAGACACCAGCAACGTGGAGGTGGGGTACTGTTGTGGGCTGGAATTATTAAATATGAGCTAGTTCGACCTTTTCTAGCTGAAGATGGATTCAAAATCAACTCCCAAACCTACTGCCAGTTTTTAGAAGACGCTTTCTTCAAGCAGTGGTACAAGAAAAAGTCTGCATCTTTCAAGAAGACCATGATTTTTATGCAGCACAATGCTCCATCTCGTGCACTGAAGTACTCCACTGCATAGCTAGCCAGTAAAGGCATTAAAGATGGAAGAATAATGACATGGGTCCCTTTCTCACCTGACCTAAACCCTATTGAGAACTTGTGGACCCTTCTTAAATGAGAGATTTACGATGAAGGAAAACAGTACACCTCTCTGAACAGTGTCTGGGAAGCTGTGCTTGCTGCTGCACAAAAAGTTGATCATCAACAGATCAAGAAACTGACAGACTCCATGAATGGAAGGCTTATTACTGTTATTGACAAGGGTGGCTATATTGGTCACTGATTTTTTTGTTTGAAATGTCAGAAATGTTTGTTTATACAGTTTGAATTGTTTGTTTGTTCTCACTTTAACAGATGAAAATAAATGAGTGAGATGGGAAAAATTTCATTTTTCATTTAGTTGCATAATAATTCTGCACACTAAGAGTTGCCTAATAATTATGCACACATAGATATTCTCCTAAGAAAGCCAAAAGCTCACTTTTAGTTTCTTAAATATTCAGGTTTGAGGTTTATTAACATTTTGGATTGACCAAGGGCATTGTAGTTGTTCAATAATAAAATTAATCCTCCAAAATACAACTTGCCTAATAATTGTGCACATAGTGTATATTCTGAAAACCAACTTCTTTCTTTATGCAGATATGGCAAACATCTACATACTGCTTCATGCTGTGCCGAGTGGCTTACCTCATATGATTCAGGAACTGCAAAACTATATCCATGATGAGGGCCTTAGATCAACCAGCAATCTTTCTCAGGAAAATGTAAGTTTTTTTTTCCTTCAGTGGAAAAAAATCATTTGATACATCAAAGTCCCAAAATGTCAGTAGTTAGTAGGAAGGACCTGCCCTAATTGTTCAGCTTGTTCTTTTTTCCTTGAAGCACTATCAACCCATTTATCAAATTCAGGCAGTTTTTCTTAGCAATAATCGTTCACTTCAAATGAATTGAATTTGAACTTGAGGCTTATATGAACTGGGAGTTGAGGGAACTGACTTCCAACACATCTGGAATGCACTATGTAGGAGATGGTAGATATAATAAAATTTGAGAACTTGATTACTAGCATTGTAAAATGATGATAGAAAACATTTTGAGAATTTTATTCTTTTACAGATTCATACTTTAATAGGGTATGAGAAACAGTATTCATTTTTCTTTCTTGCAAAATTATTTCCCTATAAATTGTTACAGAACTGCCTGTTCTTGTTATTCTGTCTGATTTTGTCTTCAGATGCCCACTCAATTTGTAGAATCAGTGTTGGAAGTACACAGTAAATTTGTTCAGCTCATTAATACTGTTTTGAATGGTGACCAGCGATTCATGAGTGCCCTTGACAAGGTGAGCCTAATGAAAATACTACATAGACCAAATACCAGAAGAACATAGGGTTACAGCCAGAGGTGAATAGGGTTAGAGCAAACCCATGGAAATTATGCTATTTGGAAGCTAAGCAGGGTTGCCTCTGGTATTTGGATGGAACACCACCATGGAATGCCAGACTGGTTGGTGAGACTGAGATGTTGTTAAAAAAACATATCAGAAGGAGCAGTGTCAAACCCCTTTCACATTGGGCCGGAATAGGCCATTTAGGAACCGCTCCTTGGCTGCGCCCCCTTCGCCCCCAGCCACCTGCCTTAGCCGATTCACAGCCAGCTTTCCTCTTCCACTAGCCCTCCCCTGGCCATTGTCCACTGCCAGTGGCCCTCTGCCCAGGTCCTTTCCCCCAGGCACCATTTGTCCCTGGCTCTTGGCTTCATGGGACAAAAAGCTGCCAGCCAATCAGGCAGCAGTGATGGCACTGCGGTGGGCAACCAAGAGGGCTGGGGAGGCAGTGTGCAATGTGATTGGTGGCAGGCTGGGGAAGAGAACAAGATCTGTGGTGGAAGGCAGCTGCTGGCATTGCAGGGGGCAAACGGTGATGGCATGCAGTGGGGTGGAAGGTGAACTGCCTGTTCAGCATCAAACCAGCAAGATCAGGTGCACAGTGGGATGGCGGCAGGCAAAATACCTGTTCAGTGTCAGGCTGGCAGGATTGGGGGTGGGGTGGGGTGGGGTGGCGCAGGTCCATTCAGCATCAGGCCGGCAGAATTGGGGGGGCAGCAGGCAAACTGCCCGTTCGGCAGCAGGGCAGCAGGATCGGGTGCGTGGGGGTCAAGGCAGCTGAACTGCTTGTTTGGCATCCATTCGGCGTCATGCTGGTGTTGCGGGGGGCGAATGGTGATGGTGCACGGTGGGGCAGGGGAATGCAAACTGCCCATTCGCCATCAGGCTGACAGAATTGGGGGCACAGTAGGGGGTGGCAGGCAAACTGCCTGTTCGCCATCAAGACAGCAGGATTGGGGGTGGGGTAGGGGGCTGCAGGTGAACTTGCCCATTCATCATCAGGCTGACACGATTGGGAGAGTGGGGGGGCAGCAGGAGAACTGCCCGTTCAGGGTTAGGCTGGAGTCCAGGCGCAAAGGCAACAGTGGGGCGGGGGGTCAAAATGGGAAGGCACTAGCACCGCTCCACAAGGTTTTTTTTAAGTTGTCTGGTTGGTGGCAGTGGGTTGGCTCCGGGCGGGGTGGGCAACAGGTAGGCAGCCATGGGTGGGGTATTCCCATTTTGACACACACACCCCACACTGTTGCCTCTGCACCTGGACTCTGGCCTGACTCCGAACTGGCATTTTGGATGCCCACCCCCTATCATGCACCTGATCCTGCCGGCCTGACGCTGAATGGGCAGTTCGCCTGCTCCCACCCCGCCGCACGTCACCACTGTTCACTCCCCCAATGCCAGCAGCCACACGCTGCCACTGTTGGCCTGCCGTGCACCCCGCCACTGTTTGCCCCCCTGCAACACCAGCCACGCATCACCACCATTCGCCTGCGGCGCCCCCCC